ATCCATCCATCCATCCATCCATCCATCCATCCATCCATCCATCCATCTTCCTCTGCTTATCCGGGGTCGGGTCGCGGTGGCAACAGGCCAAGCAGGCCGACCCAGACCTCCCTCTCACCGGCAACATGTTCCAGCTCATTCTGGGGGATCCCGAGGCGTTCCCAGGCCAGCTGGGAGATGTAATCTCTCCAGCGTGTTCTGGGTCTTCCCCGGGGTCTCTTCCCAGTTGGACGTGCCTGGAAAACCTCCAGTGGGAGGCGTCCAGGAGGCATCCTAATTAGATGCCCGAACCACCTCAGCTGACTCCTTTCGACGTGAAGGAGTAGCGGCTCGACTCCAAGCTCCCTCCTGATGACCGAGCTCCTTACCCTATCTCTAAGGCTGAGCCCGGCCACCCTACGGAGGAAGCTCATTTCGGCCGCTTGTAACCGCGACCTTGTCCTTTCGGTCACGACCCAGAGTTCGTGACCATAGGTGAGGGTAGGAACGTAGACCGAGTGGTAAATTGAGAGCTTTGCCTTCCGGCTCAGCTCCCTCTTCACCAAGACGGTCCGGTGCAGCGCCTGCTTTACTGCTGCAGCCGCACCGATCCGTCTGTCGATCTCCCGCTCCATCTTACCCTCACTCGTGAACAAGACCCCGAGATACTTGAACTCCTTCGCTTGAGGTAGGCACTCCGTCCCCACCTGGAGGGAGCAATCCACCGCAAATCCACTAGTGGATTATGTACTCTGTTTTAAATGTGTAGCTGTGAAAATGCTTTAACTTTCTATATAATTAGTGTTGTCAATGTTTGCCCTGCCAGACTGAAGGTGTGGGACCCCTTCAAGAGGAGCTACAGGAGCATCTGTGGGAACCTGTCGATAGAAGTCTCCAGTCAGCTTTACGTGACAGAGGGAGGAACCAGAGCCATCCTGCTGTCAGGTGTGAAACACAACTGGAAGTTATTAAAAGCTCCTATAAAGAAGTGGAAGGATTTATTAGGGCATCAGTCATGTGACTGCGGTGTGTGTTTGTCTTCACACGCTGGTGCTAAAAACAACTGTTTCTTTCACATTAAGGTGTCATGCTTTCACACTTTCAAGAAAGGGAAATCAGTGCTTTTGGATTAAAAGAGGTAAATGGAATTCATCAGTCTCATTCTTAAGTCAAGAAGAAAATAACGCCGAGAGCTGAAGTGACTGCTGGGTTTATTGCAATTTGGTTGAGCAGACTATAATACTAAATGTGATTTCTCTCTGAATCAAAAGAAACATTTAACTTCCGATCTGATCATGTCATCAGAATCTGTTGCCTCCCGATATAATCATTTTCTCTCCCTCACAGGATTCAAATTGTGATTATGTGGAACTTTTTCGCCATAACTTTCCATTCGTTAAAGCTACCCTTCAAATGCCAAAAAGGTTTTTGCAGGCTTCTTCAGTCCTCTGGGGACCAGAGAGCATGAACATTAGTGGGTTGTTCAGACTAAAAACAGCCTCGAGTTAAAACAACATGGGAGCATGTTGTGTCAGGTACCGTTGAGACACGAAATCTGATCCAGGAACTCCAGTTTGAGTAACAGATGCAAACGTTTGAAGGTTTGCACAGAGGCTTTATAATACTCTGAGACTGGAGTTTACTACCATAAGAGTTTACAACAAAATTCTTAGAGTTGTTTTATCTTTTGTCACGGAGGAATACACTTTTCATGTTACAAAAGTAATCTACCAGGATTACCAACGCAGCCCCTTGCTGGGTGACATAGTCTGGTTTTACTTTTTCATTTGGTTAAAATCAGCTGGGGGAGGCGACTAGACTCGACTATGTAGGTCCTTAGTCGGAGAAACCCCTGGTATGTACATGACCATTGTATTAAAGGCTACTTTCTTTAGGAGTCGCCCCCTGATGGCCATTAGAAAGAATGCAGGTTTAAGGCACTTCAGCATTCAGGTTGCTGCCTGCTTCTAAAGCAACTCTGGGACCTTTATTGTTAAAAACACTTGCCGTTACCACCAGTAACCACAGGTGTTGCCATATCCTCCAGGCATTACAATCTTCAGGATTATAACATTTCACCCCCCAAAAAATGATACAACATAATCATTCTAAGAACATATATTATTTTCACTATCATATCATACACAGCAGACTCTCTCCATGTGCAACAGTGACTTTCTATGTTGCTAATCCAGGGCGGCTGAGCCTGTGAGACCTGGAGGCCTGCAGCGTCCTGTCCGTGTTGTCCCTGGACACACATGTCCGCTGTGCACGCCTGCTTCGCGGAGGCCAGGTTTCCGTCCTGCTCGGCCTCAGCCACAGCCCTGCCCTCATCGGCGTCAGGTCCACATCCAGGACCGTGAGCCCAGAGGCTCAAGTCTCTCCACACAGTGACCTGTTTGCTGAGTCCAGCAGCAGCAGCGAGGAAGAAGAGTTGTACAGCTCTTTTCTTGTAATCTTTGCGTTACAGTCTCTTAAGGCCAGTGGGGGGGGGGGGGGGGGGGGGGG